ATTGCGATTGCGATTGCGATTGCGATTGCGATTGCGATTGCGATTGCGATTGCGATTGCGATTGCGATTGCGATTGCGATTGCGATTGCGATTGCWATTGCGATTGCGATTGCGATTGCGATTGCGATTGCGATTGCGATTGCGATTGCGATTGCGATTGCGATTGCTTTTGGAATTGGAATTGGAAACACAGCAATCAATTGAAATAAATCTCGACGCAACGCAACGAAAGAAGTACATAACTCAAAACTTGACTACTAATATGGTTTGTTGTTTCATTCTTTTTTTGTTACAGCAGTACTACTAGTACTACAAGTACTACATAATTTATTCTCTTAAAATCTCTACTAGTAGTAATTCCAGTAACTCCAGTAGTAGTCATACTACTAGCTTTTACACTAGTACGATTCATTCATCTTGACCTCTTTGTCTTGCTTTGTGTTTTGTTTCCTTGGCTTCTTGGTGGTGGTGACAAATAGTGCTACTAGTACTAGTAGTTTCTGGTCCTTCTTCTTGTTCTTTCTTGGCTGGTGGCAAAAATGTGCTGACCACTCCTCCTCCTTATCCTCAGCATCATCAGTAGTAGTACTAGCTAGTACTAGTAGTAGTATCATGATATGGCAATTCCTCAGCACCTTGTACTACTCCTACTTGGAGGAACAGGCTGTTTCCCTATTGCCAGTCACATGACATCATCTGGTGGTGTACTAGTAGTACTAGTATCATGTTGGAAAGTTTTCTTTCTGCAGACTCACTTTGTCTTGAGCATGATATCCAAGAACCAACTCCATCACCAGCACCTGCAATAGTTGTGTAGGGCATACCCCCCCTGCTGGCTGGTATCTTCATTGATTGACCTGCAAAAAGCCACAAAAAGATTTTTTCAACAAATTGTTCCATCAAGTGGTTTCTTCTTTCCCATAACCTGTGTACAAACCACCAACAACAGCTTGGTGGTTTCCTTTGTTGGTGGTGTTTCCTCAGCAGGCCTGGTGCTGGCCACTCGAGAAACAAGACATAGTATTCTGCTTTTCATGGTGGTTGACTCTGCTGATAGTAGTAAATTTACTTTCTTCTTACAGATTGTCATAGCATATTCCACTACTACTATCATGTTGCCATAATTGCAGCCTCTCTGTTGCACAAAGAAGAACAACTCAGTTGTTGTCTAGCTACTAGTACTAGTAGTGCTGCTGCTACAATTCATACTACTACTAGTAGTACCACCAGCAGCAGCATTTTTTCTTTCTTGTTTTTGAAACATCCAACTGCCCTTTCCACTGATGATGATGTGTATAGCTTGTTTCCTTTTACCAGCAAACTCTGCTGCTACTATTTCTACTAGCACTAATAGTACAATTCCTCCCTGCACTAACCAAGAAGAATGTGTATTACTACTACTAGTGTAAGAAGTATGCTGTTTTTGCTTTTTCTAATCCCAAGACACATCCTTTCTCCTGGGACTCATTTTTTGATGTGCAATGCTACTACTATTACTACTAGTTCCCCACCATGAGTCGATGTAATATGTTGCTGTAATGCCAAGTCATGGTGGCCTGGCTGCACTAGGAGTATTTGCTGGATTCTTTTTGTTTCTTCAAAGTGGTTAGAGCCCTTGCTCTCTATATCAAAACTTTGGACACGACTGATATGATCTTCAATTGAACTGTCTGGCTTTCTCTGGAAGAGGGGGGAAGGGCTGTTGATGCCTCCATCCTACTATTCATCAAGGGTGTATTTCAAACAGCAGATTGTACTTTGCTAGGATAATGGATTCATATGTTCCATACCCCCATTGATTTCTCCCTCAAGCTTTACTGTTGTCAAGGGATGTCTCTCTTGATGTCATTGATATTATTTTCAAAACAATTCCTGCTACATTACAGTCACCATTCTATTTTTGTTTTGGAGTATTTCTGTCTCTTATTTTAATGTACTAGAACTATTACAAACCTTGATAGTTCCATTCACTATCATATACTAGAGCTAGCTGTCAAATCCACGCACAAGTCATAGCTTTTGGGCCCTTATTTTTGTGTGTATTGACACCTTTGACTGAAAAACTGGCTTGTACTGCAGTTTACAACTGGGCACGTGCTCAAATTCTATTCCCACCAGTCTTACAACCAAATAGTTTCACATACATGTGCTCTTGCTGTACCACTAGTACAAGTCAATTTTGTATCCCACAAGTCATTACATGATGAAAAGATGATAGCCCAAAATTGATGCAAAGTAGAAAAACATGTAAAGAGTTAACTAAGGGTCAACTCACTCAAAAAGCTATATCTTGGTCCCCAACCAAAGCATAAGTATGGTAGGTACATGAATCAAAAGAGAATATAAACACAAATATAGTCATGTGGGGGGCTATTGGGGTTTATGAATTATTGAGCACTATTTTGAGGTGGATATCTTAGTTTAAAATGTACAATTAGTGTGTCTGGAAACCGTGGCCCACACTATAATATTTCTTTTACCATTTTTGGTCATTTGACAAACGTTGGTGCCTGAAAGACTTGTGCACTTGCTTGTTTGTTGGGTGACTGATGAAAATTCCTTCTGTATTGTCTTGTGTGCTTGGAACAATGGAAATCATCATCATCATCATCATCATCATCATCATCATCATCATCA